CCTGATCTGATACTGTTTTTTAATAAATTCCTCGAGTTAATCGTAAAGTTTAGCTACGTTCGTTTTTTGGTTAATCGTAAAGTTTAGCTACGTTCGTTTTTCGGTTAATCGTTGCGGTTTTTACGATTTACTCGATGTTTTTTTATTAAAAGCGCGTTTTTACGATTTTTACTAAAAATCTCGAATAAATCGTATAGTTTAGGCAATGTTCGGTGTTTCGTTTAACCGTTGCCGTTTCATACGATTTCCTCGAGTTATTTTCGAGAAAACAAAGTTTTACAGTTTTTATCGTAAAACTCAGACGTTAGGACGGATCGAGATGAAACGGGAGACCTTTTGACCGTGGTTTTGGACATGATCATGTCAAAGGACGTAGGCCTTGAATCGGGGACGTGGGAGGTCGAGGCTTGGGATGGTCGGCTCGACGTACGACGAGCCGAACCGGACCGATTCGGGTAGCTCGCCGTTCGGCGAGCTACCCGGGAAGCATCTAGCTCGCCGTGCGGCGAGCTAGGTCGAGGCCACTTAGCTCACCGTACGGCGAGATAGTTTGGCTGAACTAGCTCACGGTTTACGGCGGTTGCGGTTTTTCGCGGTTTTGTGCTTAACTCGAACGACCGTGTAATCGACGTTTGTTTCGTTCTTCCGAGATAACGATTTCCAAGTCTTCCCGCGGATTCCTTTTGTTCGAAAACTTATTTTATAAAACGATTCCTCGAGATTTATAAAACGATTTCTCGAGTTTTATGAAACGATTTCTCGAGTTTTATAAAATGATTTCTCGAGTTTTAAAAAATGATTTCTCGAGTTTTAGAAAATGATTTCTCGAGTTTTATAAAACAATTTCTTGAGTTTTATAAAACGATTTCTCGAGTTTTATAAAACGATTTCTCGAGTTTTATAAGACATATATTTTTTACCTTTTTGCGGAAAGTTTTGCCTATTGATTCCGTCGTACCGATTTTGACCCCAACATAGACGAACTCACCCATGCAGTTTGATATCTTGTCGAGCTCTATCAATTGAACTACGTCCGGCTTGATCTTTGAAAGGGATACGTAGGCAGCCTTTCATAAGGTTCAGTCCGGAATCAATCAAAACCTTTTTTCTCAATTTTTTCGTCTTTTGTTATCGAGCTGCGACTCAACTAGGTTTACGGTTTTATGTTACTAGGTAAATGGATGACGGCCCCTGCGGCCAAAGCCTTTATAATATCTTGTAATGATTGCAACGCTCTTACGCGAATTCGAAATAAGATCTATTTTCTTTATAAATTCGTTTTATCATGTTTTTCATATTTTCCACATCTATTTGGTTTCTTGTCGTTGGCACTCACAGAGATCCGAGTCCTCTGGAAAATTAGGATTTTTCCTAAGTTTCTTTATTTTACAGAAATCGACAGTGCGAATTTCGGTTTTCACAATCGGCCAGAATCGGAAAAACCCAAATTCCGTATCTTATTAGAAAGTCTACCACTTTTTTACATTGCTAAGGTGAGGGTATATTCTGTAAATCTCGTACGAGTGTAAAATTGATTATATCGTAGTTTAGATTTTAAAGCATGAACTGTTTCTTTGAATTAAGTCTGTTTAAGTTTTGTTTGGATAGTTAGTTCATTCATTGTAAACCGGAACTAGGGTCTAGAGGATTCAAATTTTTATTGAACTGTGTGCTGCTGAGTGATGTTATATATATATATATATATATGTATAACTATGAGTAGAGACTATGTGCGAGGGTGGGGGTTCAGAGATGTCTGGATTCGTGGCGCCACTATGGATTGCGGGTGCTCAGAGACGTCTGTGCTAGCGACGTAGATTGTGTGGTGTGTGGTGCAGAGACGTTTGCATTCGATGCAGCTTTGGAGTGCAGGGCTATAGAGACAGACTATACTAGCAACGCAACGTATGTATATCTGTAGGAGGAAATACGGGGTGTGTGGTTCAGATATGTACTATCAGTGTATTGGTTGTTCTGTGTGATGCTTTAGGCGTCATGTTTGTTCATGTTAGAGCTAAACTTCCAAAGTGGGAGTTCTACTTACTCAAGTCAGTGTTTTGTGTGTTTAGCATCTCATACCTTACAAAGTGACTCGTCTATTACTCATAGTCTTTCGTTATCCCTTTGAGGTGAGATTGATGATCATGAGTGATCATTTCGAATTGGTGCTTTTGGGAGGTTTATTTCTTTCTTTTCAGATTTATGGTTTTTATGCCTTTATCGATATTTTTGGGATTCATTACGTTATTTGGATTTATGGATATTTATTGGATTTATGGAGTTTGGAGACGATTTATGTGGATTAATAAATAGAGATTTCAAACATTTTTATTTTTTTATTATTGTGAAGATGCAGGCGTTACACTTTATTGAACTCCAAACATATACAAATCAAGTCAAGCATGCCTTAATCGATGTACAGGTGATGACTAACTGAACCCTAGAATTAATTATAACTGAAAAAAGATACAATCAAGTCAATAAAAATTTGGGTTTTAAGAATCTAGAGAATGAAACACTTACCGTTTGTAAGAAATTGTAGGATTTTGATGAAACTGATGAGGAAACACACAAAACTGAGTCAAAAAGAGACGACGATGAAGAACAAATATTTGCAATAATTTTTAATTATGTAAACTTTCGCCTAATCTCTGAGTATAATCAGATTAACTTTAACTAAAATACTAATGAGACAAAAAAAATTAAACAAAATCCTAATGAGACAAATCCAAGTTCAGGATGTCCTATTTTCAATTTTCCCGAAATTATAAGTTGTTAAAACATTTAAAATACAAAATTTCATATCTTATATATTAAAATAGAAGTCATGACTTGACTTTATGTGTGATTTATTTTTAAAAATGGATTGTTACTAGAAAGTTATTATGTTACATTAACTCTCTAATAATCTTATCATTATTATATTTTATGAAAAATCATAGCTACATAACAAAGATACGCTTAACAATTTGGTTTTGGTAAATTACTCCACACCTTCCAATTTAGTCATGTAAAATATGTCAATAAATATAAGTTTAGGAATCTTCTATTATTTATAAGGAAATATGTCAATAATAGTTAAATGCATCCACAATATATTAAAAAAAATAACAGATTCATACTATGGAATATTTATATACCCTAACAAAATTTAGACTCTATATGTACTAGATAAATTTATTTTGATGTAAATTTTTAAAAAATAAATTGTTTAAAAAATTCCTTTTAAATAAAATTCTTTATAATATTAATTTATGAAGTTATAAGTTTAGTTTTTAGCAAAAAATTCTTCGAAGTTTATATTATCTTTGCAAATTAAAGTATACTAATATTTAATCAAGCTCTATTTATATTACTTTATCTAAAAATGAAATACTAATCTAACAAAAAATAAAATATAGAAGAAAAAACAAACACATATTTGAAAAACATGTATAATATATAAAATTTAAAACAATCTATTTGATTAAAACACGTATTATATAATATTATTATGTTTGAAAAATATTTACTATACATATCGTAAATATGTGATTACTATAATATATACCAATTTACAAATGAAAACAAAATATTTATATAACTAACTATAAACGAACACAAACATCCGCGCGGTTGCACGGATCAAAATCTAGTAATTAAAATGGGTTTATCACCAAAAGGTCCAGAAACTGAAATGACCAACAAAACAGTCCTCTAACAAAATTTTCAGAAAATCCAAGACACCACTTAACTAAAAGCCGCCATCGACGGAAACATTCACCTCCAAACAAAACCAAAGCCATCACGAAAACAAAATTGAAAAGGAAAATTCGAAAGACCGGAATAAGATCTACGGGCAAAATCCACAAAAACAAGAAAGAAAAAGACAATGCAGGACTATGAATGCAAGACATATCAAAAAGAAAAAGAAGGCAAGAAAGAGATGTTGGTGTAAATTTGGTCGTCTCCAACCCTTTATGTAGTCAGCCACTGCCGGAGACCCCTTTCAAGATTCCAAATGGCAAGATTACTTAGCGGACCCAACAGTTTAAGCACCGCCAAAACCTTCTTCTCGCAATGATTCACAGCCTCTCCCCTCCAACGATTTTTAACTCCTGTGTTGGAGGAGGATTGATCATCTCTCCACAAGGCCCATCGAATGACAGTCTTTGGCCCATCTAAAGTTCGACCGAAATACAATCGGAAGAGAGATCGAACTGGAAGTCCGAACGACCGGTTTAATTGGGTAACCGGTTGATGAGGTCGATTTAAACCGGGTTTCACGAATAATTGCTAGCTCGAAAGCCCATTAAGCACGAGCTCGATCTTGGGCCTCTAAGACGAGCTTNGGGTAACCGGTTGATGAGGTCGATTTAAACCGGGTTTCACGAATAATTGCTAGCTCGAAAGCCCATTAAGCACGAGCTCGATCTTGGGCCTCTAAGACGAGCTTTAGGGCGAACGAAGCAGAGGAAAAGGACTTGGAGTATAAAAGGACGAAGGGGGAGAAAGAGAAAAGGGATCCGCAAATAGACACAAGAATATTAACGGCAAGATCTAGGGTTTAACAACTAATCGATCTCCCTTGTATTCTCGTCGGAGCTTCTCTAAGAACTCCGACCTTTACGTTTTCTCAGAACCTCTTTGTAATCACTTTCATAATCTCATATTGATCAATAAAACGTCTTCTTAAGTCCCACAAATCGAGTTTAGTTTCTTTGTTTATCGATCGAACAAACTCAGATTCAACATTTGGCGCCCACCGTGGGACGACTTTGACCGGAAAAGAATTCGTCGGCAGCGTGATCGAATTTCGCGAGGTTTCTATTCTCTTCACCTCTCCCTCCTCTTTGTTGTTTTTGGATGAGTGCATTCCTTTGAGTTCCCGCGGTGAATGGTCGATCGTTTTTTTTTTTTTTATATATTGTTGGTATGATTTCGTCCTCTTGTTTGCAGTTGATTGGGCCTCCGATATTCCTTGTGAGGATTTCAAAGGCAAGAGATTACCACTTCCACTGATGGGGAAAATTCCGCGAGTTTATCCTAACTTTAGCGAGATTCTGAATGCCCAACTGGGCGATGAGACTTTCGATCCTGCGGCTGCACTAGAGGCGGGTAACGAGGAAGTTGGAGTTCCGCTTGGCGAAGGCGTCGATCGTCCGGAAGAGGACTTGGCAGTGGACGAAACGATCGATCGTGATATTGACTCCCTTCTGAAAAAGAAGAAGAGAAAGCACAAATCGTCCAAGAAGGCGACGGTTGACTCAACTGAAACTAAAGACGTCGGGACTGAGGATGTTGAGACCGAGATTTCTCCCAAGGATCCTTCGAGCGTTGGAGGTAATGAGGTTGCGCAGGTTGACGGCATCGTGACTTTACCTAAGGAGAACCCGGTTGTAGGGGAGCAAACCAATCCGTCATCAGTGAAGAGGAAGAGGTTGATTGACGATTCCTCCAAGGGTCCCGCTGAAAAGGACTCGAGAAAGGTTAGCCAGCAGCCTGCTGGTCTTTCTAAGGAGGCGATTCCGCCGTCTTCTCGTAATCTACCTTGGGGTGGATCAGGTCCTCCAGCCAAGAAGCCCCCGTTGGCTGCTACCGAACGTTGGGATTTTCGTCACAAGAAGGACACGCCTTTCGTCAACGATACGGGTTCGTGCGCCGAGCTGTCGTGTAACATTCGAGGTAGTGCGCGTGAGATGCCGGAAATTCGTGATCTCGCGTTTCCCGCTAAGTTTGCCGAGTCGGCTCATGCAGACGCAGTGGTAAGGCCTTTTTCAACTTATGTGTGTTCGATCGATCGTCCTCCCCCCCTTCTTTTATCGTTCATGATTGTGTTAACCGCCATTGTTCTTGTCGTTGCAGGCTTCCGCTCGTAAGAACCAGCTTGTCTTGGATTACGAACTCGCTATGCGAAAGATGGCGTTTGACCTTAGCAAAGCTGAAGCAGAGATCAAAGCCAACGACGCAGAATTGGAAAAGGCGAGAAGGAACGCCTCGGAGAAGGCAAAGGAGGTTGCTGTTGAGAGAGTCCGCAACCAACGCGAACGCAAGCAGGCTGCCGAGAGAGCTAATGGTCTCGAAGAGGACCTAGAGAACGCTCGGACTAGAATCGCGAAGCTGGAGCGCGAGAAAATCGAGGAGGCTGAAGAACACAAGAAGATGATAGGTTTCATGAAGCAGACAAGGACGCGCGAGGTTACGTCGGAGAGAGGACGCCTCATGGTAGCGGCGGCCGCACGTTTTGACAAATTTTGGAAGTACATGGCTGATCGGGACAAGCTCGAAACGAAGATTTGTCTTCACTGTCAGGCTCTCGGGACTTTGCAATCGTTGGATGTGTTGGAATCGTGGGGTTTGCAGGTGCCGAAGAGGATGAGGGACGCCTTGATGTTTAACGAGAAAAAAGTACAAGCGTGAGGTTGAGGAAGTCGACGTGGAGGAGATTACAGAACGAGATCTTTCCTTATCCCCTCCTCATTCTGGATCGATTCAAGGTCTTGACCAATTCGGGACGAATGTGGGAATAGTTGACTCGGCGACGGCGGCTTCTCTTCGTTCTCCGTCAGTTGACGTTGGGAGTGCTGCTACCGGGGGGGAGACGTCAAGTGTGGCGTTGGTTGCTGCGGTTGGAACTAGAGAGGACGTGCCTGCGGAGTTGAAAGACGGTCCGACGGAGGCTCCCACCCAGCAGTCGGTTGGCGTTCCGAACAACCCTGGTGCTTGACTCGTTTGTTGTTGTTGTTGCTTTACCTTTATTTTTTCTTTTATGTAGTTGTCTTCCGCACCTTTGTATGTTGCACTTTATGGATTGAGCTCAGTCTTGTACTCTTTTTGTTGTGATCTTTGGACTCCGACTTTCGTATGCATGAGCAAATCCTAAGTATCCACTTATATATTTTTTTTTATATCATATATTTCTGCTGGAGGAGGATCGATCGTCCGGCCTCCTCAACTTGGTGGCCGAGCGTGTCTGAAACTCTTTCGTGGTTCGGTCCGCTATGTTTGTGCTTACGACATTCGGTCATCCAAACGTTCGTGGCGATGACGATTAGTCGGCTAGCCTTGTGAGTATTTGTCGAAGAATCGATCGTCCGGCCTCTTTGTGCGACGGCCATGTCTTACCGAAACTCTTCTCGTGGTAAAGTCTACTATGTTTGTGTTGACGACCATTTTTTTTTTTTTTTTTTTTTTTATTCGAACATGCTACGACGTTGCGCGTCGAGTTTGTTACGTCCTGTGCTAACAACGATCGATCGCTCGGCCTAAGATGTGTTGGACTTGGTGACTGATCGGCATGAGTCGATCGATCGTCCTTTGTGGGAGGTTTTGTTGGCGACTAATCTGCTAGAGAACTCTTTAGTGCTCGTTTCTCTTAATTGACAAAATGGTGTTGAGCCTTATACTCGTGACCGATGCAATCGGGTTGAGACGACGTGAAGTCATTCACCTAACGTGATCGCCAAAGTTTCTGGGGAAAACTTCGTTGCTGCCAATCGAGAGATTTTTTTTTTGGAGGGCTTATAGCTGGACCTCGTGAGAGGCTGCCTACGTACCCCAAAGAGAGGGATCAAGCCATTCGTAGTTCGATTTGGCCGAGTGATAGATCATTTTCCTTTCCGGAAAAAGGAGAAATGTGATATCGGTCACTCGACTCTTTTTTTTTTTTTTTTTTTTTTTTTTTTTTTTTGGGAGGGGAGCGATGGATCTTGATTTCTTTAAGAAGAAGAGAATGAAATCGCCCCCCCCCCTTTTTTTTTTGGGCGTTCGATCGCCATTTTTGACTTAAGAATAATATTTACGGAGATTTGAGGCATTCCACGACCGTGGCAATCGCTCCCCGGAGGATGTTTCCAATCGATAGACTCCAGGTTTAATGACTTCGATTATCTTGTAAGGCCCTTCCCAGTTGGTCCCAAGTTTTCCAGCCTTCCATTCTTTAGTGTTTTCGAACACTTTCCTTAGGACAAAATCGTTGAGTCCCAACGGCCGGGTTCATACTTTCTTGTTGTAATAGGTTTCGGCGAGATATTGATAATTCTGAATGCGTAGGAGGGCCTGATCTCGTCGTTCTTCGATCGCGTCGAGGGCGTCGAGCATCATATCTTTGTTGAGATCGACATTTTGAGGCATTTTTGCTCGACGCAGACTAGTGACATTGACTTTTGCCGGAGCCATTGCTTCGACGCCATAGGCTAAGGAGAAGGGCGTTTGACCTGTCGCACTGCACGGGGTCGTTCGGTGGGACCAGAGGACTCCATCAAGTTCGTCTGCCCAATGTCCTTTTGTGAGATCAAGGCGTTTCTTGATCCCATCGATGTTTGTCTTGTTCGTTGCCTCAGCCTGTCCATTGCCCTGTGGGTAACGGGGGGTCGATGTGTTAAGGCGGATCGCCCATCTATCGCAGAAGCCGTGGAAGTTGTGCGAAATGAATTGGGAACCGTTGTCGGTGATTATTTCGTACGGGAGGCCGTGGCGGCATATGATGTTCTTCCAGACGAAATTTTGCACTTCCTTATCAGTTACTTGGACGAAAGCTTCCGCCTATACCCACTTGGTGAAATAATCCGTCATGACGAGGACGAACCTGCGTTGCCTGGAATTGGGTAAAGGGCCAACAATATCCATCCCCCATCGCATAAACGGGTACGGCGCTGCTGTTGTTCGTAATAGCTCGGTGGGCGAATGTATGTTCGAAGCGTGTCGTTGACATTGATCGCATTTTCGAGCATAAGCCTGGCAGTCGGAGACCATGGTTGGCCAGAAATGCCCAAGACCCTTAATCTTGAGGACTAGTCCTCGTCCGCCGGAGTGATTTCCACCGGCACCATCGTGGGTTTCGGCCATGACCAGACGAGTTTCGTCGCCATGGATACACGTTAGGAGTACGTTGTTGGCTGTCCGGCGATAGAGTTTTCCTTCCATTACGACGTAGTTTGAGCATTTGGCCTTTAATCGACGTGCTTCCCACTTATCCGTTGGTAGCGTTCCACTGATTAAATAATCGAGGAAAGGGATCCTCCAATCGGGGGGTTGTACGTTCGTGTCATCGGTTGACCCATCGATTTCCATATCGTCGGTTGTGGAGATCGATGATATGACCGCGCCTTCTTCCGAGGGAGGCGAAATGCTCGGCCGGTCGATATGCTGAATGGGTATCGTTCGGCTTACCTGATCGCGGGGGTTACTTCCGAGTGCGGCTAAAGCGTCCGCGCAAACGTTCTCTCCGCGAGGGATTTTTGTTAGTTCGAAAGATTCAAACCCTTGGGCGAGATCTTGAACTATGCGGAGATACGCGTTCATTCGGTTGTTTTTTGCGTCGTAGTCTCCATTGAATTGGTTAGCGACAAACTGAGAATCGCAGTATGCATGGACTTGCTTGGCACTAACGGCCTCGGCGAGGCGCAGGCCGGCAATGAGAGATTCATACTCCGCTTCGTTGTTGGACGCTTTGAAATCTAGTCGAAATGATTGGCGAATCAATTCGCCCGTTGGCGATTGCAGCTGGACGCCGATTCCGGATCCTTTCGTCGAAGATGATCCGTCGACGTGTAGTATCCAAATGCCCGTTGGCAAGACCAGATCCTGCTCGAGTTCGGGGGGAAGCTCGATGATAAAATCAGCTAGAACTTGCGATTTTTTAGCGGGCTTGCCTTGGTACGTGACGTCGTGTTCGCTGAGTTTGATTGCCCATTTCGACAGTCGACCCGACTGGTTGGTGTTCTGCATGATTGTGCGCAACGGTTGATTGGTCAAGATGACGATCAAATGAGATTGGAAATAGGGCCTGAGCTTTCGGGCCGAAGTGATGACCGCCAGGGCCATCTTTTCAAGCGTTGAGTATCGTGTCTCGGCGTCGGTCATCCGCTTGCTTGTGTAAAAGATTGGGTGCTGTTCACCGCGATCTTCCTTGACGAGGACACTGCTGACGGCTATCGAGGAGACTGCGATGTAAAGGTAAAGTGTATCTCCTTTTTCTGGTTTAGCTAGTACGGGCGGTGTGGTGAGGTAATGTTTCAGTTGGTTGAACGCCTCTTCACACTTCTCGTCCCAAACAAACTTCTTATTGCCGCGCAACAAATTGTAGAAGGGGAGGCACTTGTCGGTCGACCGCGAGATAAATCGGTTAAGCGCTGCAACTCTTCCCGTTAGCCTTTGCACTTCTCGACTGTTTTTGGGACTCGGCAGATCCAGGATGGCGGAGTTTTGCTTCGGATTTGCCTCGATTCCCCTTTGTGTCACGATGTAACCGAGAAATTCACCGGACGTGACTCCGAACGTGCATTTGGCTGGATTGAGCTTCATGCCGTACTCATTCAGCGTTCGAAAGCAGTCAATCAGGTGACTTAGGTGGTCGGTCGCCCGACGAGATTTTACCATCATGTCATCAATTTAGACTTCCATTGTATTTCCCAATCGGTCGACAAACATTCTATTGACCAGACGCTGATAGGTAGCGCCGGCGATCGGCGGAGTTTTATTTCCGCCACAAGGAGGTCGCGGGCGGCTGCCTGATCTCCACGCAGGGTGATTGTTCGACCATCGGTGCTGGGGAACTTGATGCATTGGTGATAGGTTGACGGAATTGCCTTCATCGAGTGGATCCACGGTTTTCCGAGAATCGCGTTGTATGGAGTTTTTACGTCGATTATCGAGAACTTGACGTTTTTTTTTACGCCATGAGCGTGGACTCGCAGTCGTATGGTACCGAGCATCGTTTCTGATGATCCATTAAATCCCGTTAAGGATCGCGTGGAAGGCTTGATTGTGCGGAGGTCGATCCCCATCTTCTCAAGAGTTTCTTTGAAGATGAGGTCGACCGAACTCCCGGTATCGATGAGGACTTTCGTTACCTCGCAATCACCAATCCCGAGCTCGATGAGAAGGGAATCGTTATGGGGCATGTGAACCCCTTTGGCGTCTTCAGCGGAGAAGGTAATCTGGGGGACGTTCTCCCATACGGTGCATCGGTTCTGTGCAGTGACTGCTCTCCGGCGAAAGTCCTTAACCGAACGGACTGAGTCGATATGGGGAGGTGATCCTCCTAAGATCACGTTTAACCGCTTGGGCGCGTGAGAGCGCTTTAATCGGGCATCGTTCAATTGCGCACTTAAATCCTCCGTCGTTTCGTTGCTCTTGGTGCCGGCCGATCGATTGAGCTTGTTGCGCAACTCGCCAACACGCGAGTTGATTATCGATCGTAGGTCGCGTTTCTTAGCGTCCAGGCGATGGCGAGCATCCAACGTATTCAGTTTCCTGATTTTCGAAGTTGCGATCGTCTGCTGCGGGTTTTCAGGAGGAGGTTCAAAGTTCAGCTTCGCGTTCTTCCGTTTGAGCGAGTCACGCAAATCGTGTTTTAAACCGAGGTCGTCTTCCTGCGTGTTCTCTGAGGCGGATGAATCAGATTGTCCTTCCTTCGCAGATGTATCGCCCGTTAGGGAGAGCGCAGGAGTCGTCCTGATTGTAAAGATCTTTCGGCGAGATGTGGGTTTCTCTTCGTCAGATCCAGACTCATCTTCGTTCGAAGGGGTGATATCTTCCTTTGGAGGAGATCGATCGGCCGAATTGCTGCGGTCGTTACCCTTCCTGTCTTTGCTCTTTCTCGTGCCTTTTGCATTCGCCTCAGGCTGTTGCTTCGGAGGTTCGGGATGAGCGTGCTTCTCGACAAAACTCGTCATGAGGAAGTTTTTGAGGTGATTGCATTCCTTTGTCTCATGTCCGTACGCT